AAACAAGTCAGTCCTTCTGCACCTGGCCCGGCCAACTCAGAGAGGCATTTCCTGATGGGCCCTGGAAGTGAGCAAAGCTGGCCTCCACTAGATCCCCTACGAGGAACCGCGAGGCCAACTCTCGCCCTCCAGGGCTTCACACAGACGATGGATGCTCTACATAAACTCAAGCCACATTGGAGGGAAACCCTTTCCCCAGTTTGCTCTTTATTACTGTCTTGATATTTGCCTCTGGTTGCTATGACAAAATCTGGCATTGGAATTTTTCTGGGAACAAAGAGGAAATAGTTGTGGGGGGAAGTTCAAGACCCTTACGCACACTTAGGTTTGGTTATAAACACTCATAGTAAAATAAAGCATTGACTCATTAAACCCAAAACAAAGCCAAAATATATTTTTTTAATCCTCATTCAAAAACTCTTACTTCGTTCCAGAGGTGATCATCTAGAAAGCTATTTTCTCTTGTAGACAAGGTCACCAGCAAAATGAACTAACAGGGTGGAGTACTGACCAGTTGGGGTACTGATCACTCTGTGCCAAGACACACTCTGCGTTTGGTGTGTTTGATTGCTGGAGCTGGAAGTGCTAACTCCACACAGCAGAAATTTTCCATTGACTAGAGTTGGTCATTTTGTCCAGCCTCACTGAAGAGAAAACCAGGGCTGCAGCCATTCAAACTCCAGCTCCAAGGGTCTGGAAAATCTTACAAGGGCATGCAGGCCTGTGACACACCTCGGACCCAGATGTGCTGGGTGTCTCTTTGTTTTTGTCTTTCTCTAAGGCCCCTATATCTGAAATTTTGTTCCTGAATCTCCACCTTTCTCCTAAGCCCAAATTAATCTCTCAGTTCACATCCACTGACTTGTCTTCTAGGGCCAGACTTAGAGGTGGGAAGAAGCATTTGCTGCCCTACAGAGTGATTTGAGGAGAGTGTGAAAGCCCCCTCCACCCTATATGGGCTGGCCAGTGTGGCTGGGCGTCCGTCCACAGCATGGATGGCTGCTGTCAAACACAAAGACTACAAGGAGACATATCGAAGAAATATCCTACAAATCCTTCAAATGGCCATCTGGCCCAACCTATTTTCCCATCCTATCCCCTAATCCTCCCCACAAAGCTCCTCCACTCCAGTCAGGCTCATATCTCAATGTCTCTTTCATCCACCATTGATGCCTCAGAAATAATGATAAAAATGTGTTACTACACAGTAGTTTTTCTCTCTCAGAATTCCTCTAAAGAGAGAACAGATTTGTTTGGAGGAAATATTTAGAGAAGCCACTGGGGAGGAGAGGCAAGATCTCAAGGGTTGTTCAAAGAGCAAATAGTGGTGACTGAACTACTATTCATAAAATAAGGAGGGAAGGAAAAGCAATAGGCAACAGGAGGCTGGGCCTGTGTGGGAGGAGAGTAGACAGGTAATAACTACAAAACTAACTACTTATCTAGTGCATACCTCTCCTGGTACTGTTCCAATCTCTTTATGTGTATCAACTGATTTAACTCTTACAACAATCCTATGAAGTAGTTAGTAATATCTCCATTTCACAGGTGGGGAAGCAGAGGCCCAGAGGGGGTCAGTAACTTGCCCAAGGTCACTTGGCTCATGAATGGTGGGGCTAGTGAGCAAGTGTCTGACTCCAGAATCTGTGCTTTGAAGCACTCTACGCAACTGCCTCAGTGGGTAAGCCCCTGGTCGCAGTTGAGGAAGGACAGCAAAGCAGAAGCCCACAAGGCTGTCATCCAATATAAGAAGGTGCCAATATAAGACACATCATTATTTTATGTAGTGTTATGAAAGTGCTGCCAATTATACTATGACACACCATCACAGTGAGACAGATTCTGGTTCAGAGATATCAAATATTCAAATATGAAAAAAGTGCATCTTAGAGATGATGACAAACAGTACTGAAGGGGGATTATGAACCTGTTTGCTGTGGAGTGTGCAATGAAACCTCCTTCTTCTCCGCTTTGAAATTGCTGGTGAAGTCTACGTTTCTCACTAATGCTTTTGTGGGTGTAGATTCTTGCAGGGAAGTGGTGGCAGGGACAAACTTATAGAAGTGTCATTTGTACGTGTGTGCGCGTGCACATGCACACATGTGCACTCATGAATGCAGGCGTGGGTGAACAGACGCAGGGCAAAGACAATTTTAGCAAGCTCAAAATTACCCTACATTTAAGTTACACAAAGAATATGTAACTTCATTATTTTCCATAATTGATCTAATCTTTCTCCTGAGCGCTTCACCTTATCATGTAGAATCAGAAAATTAAATGTCATCCCATCCAGTAATTTATCACTCCTAGATATTTCAGTCTTGCAGTTTTCCTCCTCCAGTTTCCCATTCGTCTCCAAGATGGCCCCTGGGGCAAGAGTTCACGTCCTCATAGGACTCACATGTCCCTGAGGTCTGGCTGTGTTTCCCATTTGATCGCCATCCTGGGCAGTCCCGGCAGGGACAACCCCCTGGTAAGTCATCAGCCAGGTTTACTCCTGGCCCTCATAGCACTCTTGCTCATGAGCCTGAGTGCAACTGCAGAATCCTCCCCATCGCAGTGTCCTGCCAGCCACTACACTGAAGTCGGCATATTAAATAAGCTAATACCATCCTGGATTTACTAGTGATTCCCCAAGAGACACACCTGCTGGCAGTTACCCATGCCCAGGAGTCAATAATCACCTGAAGGGGGAAAAAACATTAAATAGACCTGCAATTAGTACCAACAGCATTAATCAAGATCGTTATCACCCACTGAACATGTCAGTGTGTCTTCTAGTCCTAGTTCTAGTAAATATTAAGCCATCTATCTTCCCCAAGGGCAGGAGAGGAACACCACTGACATGAACATGTTCTGTATGGGTCAGATATTCTTCTATCCGACTCCCCCAGGATAATATGAAACAGCAAAGGCAAGCATTGTGTATGTGCATGTTTTAGGAGTTAATCCAGGACTCTGGGTTGTCATGGCTAGAGAAGTGAATGGGCTGAAGAGCTGATACTGCTGAAATCTCATCCATTTCCAGAAGTCTGGGATGAACCCAGCAAGATCTCAAGACAGAGCACCTGGGAGCATATCCTTCCCCCTTTGTACACTGGAGAAGTCTTTCAAGGTCAGCGGATCTTTCTCCACAATCCAACACTTCCTCTTCCTGTAACATCTACCACCTGTCCACTTCAACTGACCCTCCCCCTGGTCAACAAGTGGGGTGTTTGAATTCCACATTTCCCTTTTAAAAAAAATCCTCAGAAGGCCAAATCTCAAAAAAAAAAAAAAAAAAAAGCATATGCAAGTAACCATAGCAGAGAGACTAGAACAGAGAGGAGCAGTACTGCTCTTAGGCCCAGGAAAAAGGGGCCTCCTGGACCCCGCACTTCTGGTCTTCCACTAGTTGTGCCCCTTTACACAGGGTGAAAAGTGTATGAACCCACAGAGATGTGCCCACTTGGAGCCCGTATCTCCTCTTCCAGACCATGTCTTGGGTACCCAAGACCCTGGGATTCCCTGCCAGAGCGATCCAAGCCCACTTCCAGGGCCTTCCCCAGGCCAGTTCTCTCAAGGGCGGGTTACATCTTCAGGATGCACACCCCTAAGCCCAAGAAGTGGCCACAGGGTGGCTGTTTGCAGGGATTGAGTGTGGATGTGCAGACACAGGTACGTGCACTACCCCTCTCATGTGGGATCGCTGGGGAAGGAAGAGATGGGGGCAAGTAGCATGCTGTGGGCCGGGAGTCCACACTTCCTGAGCCACCACATTCCTGCATGGCAGTCCAGGAGTTCATGAACTCTTAACTCAAATCTTCCCTCTGTGCAGGTATATTTGTCAAAGCAGGAGGATGGAACATATTTTATTTGTCAGCTTGATTTATAACTTTCAAATATTTAGACATGGTATATGAGCCTCTATTTGTATACTTGCCAGGGCATCACAAAAGTTAGGAGAGGGTCTGGGGAAGGGAAAATGGTTTTTAAGAGAGGGATGGGAATACTCTCTGGATCAAAAAAGACCAAAATTGTTTCTCTGCTGTGTGGTGCTTAAACAGTGTCTGGCACATAGTAAGTACTCAAATATTTGTTGAAAGGGAAAAGAAGGAAGAGAAGAAGGGAGGGAGGGAAAGAAAGAGAAAAGGAAGTATTTGTGTTAAACCTTTCACACTTTCAGGAGTTTGTGATGTGGAGTCAGAAAGGCCAGAATTCAAATCCTGTCTCTAGCACTCCACCTGTGTGTCCTTGGGCAAGTTATTCAATATCTATAATACTCAGTTTCCTCATCTGGAAAATGGGGAAGCCATGCCTATCACATAGTGAGAACAAATAAATATTAACTACTTATCTTATTCTCATTATCCTCATCATTTTTATTATATACTCTACCCCCTCAACCCCATTTAATTTATGTCATATTCTAAGGGGCAATTTGTTTCCATCTCAGGAAGCCTATTGCTACTGATGTACCCAATGCAGAGGGAAAAATACTTCATGATCCCTATTTCAGTCCCACCAACATCCTCAAATGCCCCCCTACCACCATAGCAGGTGCAGCTGATGTCCTTGGCACGTACCATTTCAATCCTCAGCAGCCTGACTTCCAATTGCCAGCACCAGCATTTCTTTGCATAAGGGCATTGTCAGTCCTCCAGAGCCCACTTTGCCACTTGAATGGCAGGACAGAAGTGCCAGAGAATTAATACCCAGGAAGCAGCCTTCAACCAGTGTGGGATGGGAGTGGTTATAAATACCCCAGCTCTCTCACTCCTAGAGTAAGACAACTTTGAGGTGCACGTTCTATACTGAATCCCAGCAGGATCACGTTCCAGATACCCTCAGTGAGAACTTGCTCGATAATGAATATTTGGTTGCTACACAAGTATGCAAGAGTATGGCCATGCCAGTTATGGCCACTGCTCCTTCCAGCTGCTCACTGTTCATGCTTTACTACTTGTTAAATATTTTGAAAATCATCCCTTCACATTTAACCAAGAAGTTGCCCCCATAAGTGCTTCTTTAGAAACATCAATATTCTATGAAACTAGAACCAACAGCAATTTCGTCTAATAAACAAATAAATATTTATTATTTTTTCCTCCTTCTTCCTACAGTGTATGGCATTAAAATTCAGTAGGTAAGTGGAGGAGAATAGACAATAAAAGATCACTCAATACTTTCGCCCACCTACAAAACTAGCAACACCACAGATTTTTTTGTTGTTGTTGGATACTTTTCCGTACAAGTGAGGTACCATGACCCCACATGCTGTATCAAATGGGGCATCTGCTCTCAAGTACTTTTGTACTTGACATTGACCTCGGGGTTTGACAAATATGTTGTCTCCATGTTTTTATTTATCTCCTAATCCTTTGGATGGTGACACATTCTGAGATTATAACAAATATATTAAGATCCCAATATGAACATAATGTAACAAAAAAGATGACCCAGATCTAGAGTGGGTGAACGCCAACCCAAACAGTGGTTAAACTGGGCAGCTGTCTGAAATTAGGTCCAATTAACACATTTTAAACACAGCATTGCCGGGAACCTCTTTGAAGTGTATTGCTCCATGAAGGTTTTTCTTGAAAGGGGTTTCCTAATAGGAACCAGTCAAAATTCACAGCTGAACAACTTAACTTCCTATTTTGACTTACGTGCCATGTAGAGTTCACAGTTTTAATTCATTTTCCCCAGTTATGTGTATAAATATTTCAAACATGTGATGAAATGTCTGGGAAGGCACCTTTTCTGAAAAGAACATTTGTAAAGCCAGAAAGAGGAAAGAAAAGGGGCAGGGCTCCTGTGCTCTGATTTGCATTCTGTTGAATTGCCAGTCTCTTTTGGTAAGTGCTGAGGAGTCCATTCCAACTCCTAGCGACCCTGTGTACAGCAGAGTGGAACCCTACCTGATATTTTTGTGCCATCCTCTCACCTTCTGGTGCTATATCAGACAATGCTCCACTGCTATTCACTGGGTTTTCACGGCCAATTTTTTTGAAAGTGGGTAGCCAGGTCCTTTTCTCTAGTCCATCTTAGTCTGGAAGCTCCACTTAAACCTCTCCACCATGGGTGACCCTGCTGGTATTTGAAATACCAGTGGCATAGCTTTCAGCATCACAGTAACATGCAGCCGCCACAGTATGACAACCGACAGATGGGTGGTGTGGTCCCCTGACCAGGAAATGAACCTGGGTCAGAGGTGAGAGCTCCAAATGTTAACCACTAGACCACCAGGGCAGCCCATCTCTACTATAAACGTAAATTACCAAATAGAACTTACATATTTAGTAAGCATACTAGAGCATGCTCTACTTTGAAATAAAAGCTCCATGAGGGCATGAACTTTACCTCCTTCATCGCTGTATCCCTAGTACCTAGACTGGTTCACAGCAGGCCTACAATAGATATTAGCTGAATTAATGAATGGATGAATGTTTACCAAATGAATAAAGAAAAGCACGAATGAAGTAATAAAGTGAATTAATTATATACATATGTTTGGAAAACACAAGCTAAAGTCTCTAACCCACATATGTGTGTGTGACACAAAGGCACTACACACATACTCAGAAAAAGGGAGAGAATTGTCTTAACTCTCCTGATTATTTTGCTGGTGCTGCCTACTGGGAACTTAAACCTCAGCTTCATTGTTCATACTGGACAAAAAGATGAGGGATGCAAAGTTTGGTGGAATGCACCTAGAATGTTGCCTGGCACATGGTGAGCACTTCATAAATATTTGAGGACTAATGAGTGAAGAAATTAAATGGTGTTTGGTTCCAGAATCCCTCACCAGAAGAGGCTCCGACATCTAGTGTTTCACTCCTTACCTATTTCCTAAGTCTTGTTCACTGACCTTCCTGCGTGACCTTCTCATTTGCAAACACCAGGCCCAGCCACACAAGAGAATTTTGGAAAAAGAGGTAGGAAGACGTCTTCCCTCCTTCCAGTCCTTGTCTCTGAGACAGAATGGACCATAGTTTTTTGCAGGTAAGGCAGACAGAAGATGCTTGGGTGTTCCACTAGGAGGAAGGCATTCTAAAACTGGGGTATTTGTTAAAATGCAGATTCCTGGCTCCCAGCCCCCAAAGGCTCCAATTCAGTGGGTCTGGGGTGTAACCCAGGAATATGCATAGTTACTACCACCCTGGTGACTCTGATGCAGATAATAAACTGTTAGAGATATGGGCTAAAAGGAAAGCATTCTGGAAGGAGAAAAATTTTCACCCCAGAGCACCTCCAGGAAAGTAATTCTCACATCTAGTTGGTTGATGCCATCCTGGAACATTTCTCCAGGGAAATTCTCAAGCATTCTCCCGACAAGACTTCGACTTACTTTAATTTAAAAGAGAAAGCTATGACATATTCTTTCTTTTCTATGATGATAGGGGACACACACACACACACACAATCCAGCAACCAAAGTGTTTTTCCTCCCAAAAAGTCTGAAAACTAAGGAAAGAGCCCTTGAGCACGACTTGGGAAGCCATCCACTTCTCCTATGTAGAAGACCCACTTTTCCCTTCAGGGAAAATCCAAGGTTTGGATGTATCACAGAAACAAAAAGAAAGATAACTAGAAAATAGTCAGAAATGTTGATGCTAAAGAAAATCTAGGAGGAGGAACAGAGGCTCTGACATCTGGAAGCAAAAGAGACATGAAATTGCCCATGTGACAATATCTCAGGACATAAGAGAGGACTGAAACAGCACTAGACTCTACTAAAGCATTGGAATGACAAGTTCCTGCAACTTGATAATTTAGAGACTTGTAATGTATCTGTCCACACAACAGCTAATTTCGGAGTCAGTGGTGTACTCCTTGAAGACAACCTGGAAACCTGGAAAATCCAAGATGAACGGTCTGTTAGCATAAAGGATCTCAATGGTTTAAATCCCCCATCTATCATGCCTGCATGAAAGGCTTCCTCTGTAAACAGAGGAGCAAGACCACACTGCCTTGTAGCAAGACCTGCTCAGCTTGTTTAAAAGGGGGCATTATTTTCCACTGAGCATGTGGTTTCTTCACAATTTCACACATGTGCACACACATACCCCCTGTCTATCTGTGCATACAGTAGCAAACTCTTTTGGCAGGTTCTTGAGCAATAAAGGGCTTAGCCTTTTTGTACTACTTTGGGAAGCTTAAAGCTACAGACTAGATCGACACGTCTGTAGTACCAACTGGTCAGCCTTCCATCTCTCTCTAAGCTGACCATCAGTATCTCTTCCCTTCCCACTGCCTTCCTACCCTGTAACCCTCAGTCTATTTGTTTTTGAACCTCTCTGAATAAACAAAGTTACTATTTTTTGTTTACTTGCCATCAAATAGGGTTTTAAAAAATTAAGTGGTAATTGTACATAAGCATTTTATGTCAATTATGTAACATATAAGATTCAAATCTATTTCTATTGAGGCCCAACCATTAGGCTCATGGCAAAGGCCTTATGACTATATAATGGATATGGGTGAGTTATTTACAAATGTTGGGAGGGGAGAGAGGAGAAGGGATCACACTCAGAACAGGCTTGTTTATGCTGTGGCAACAAACACTACCAAAATCTCAAAGGCAAAAAAATAAAAAGGCGTCTTTCTCACTCCACTACATTTCCATCACAGCTTGGCTAAGGGGGGCTACTCCATCTCTCCTTATTCCAGGACCCAGGCTGAGGAAGTGGCCACCAACTCCCATGTGGCCAGGCACGTGGGAGAGGAAAGCGAGCTCTGCACAATCTCACACCAGCAATTCCATGCATGGTCTGGTGGTGACACACATCACCTCCACTAACATCTTATTGTCCAGAACTAGTCATATGACCCAACTACTAGTCACCCAACTGCAAGGGAGCCAGGAGGTGAAATCCTACTCTGTGCCTGGAAGTCAAAGAGCCAGAAAGATTTGGAGAACAGCACTAATGATCACCAAACAAGAGGAAGGAAGGGAAAAGAACCCAGCAATTGACTGTTGTTGAGGAACACACATTGAGAAATCTTAACAACTGTCACTGACTGCCCCCTAGTCCTGACTCAACAGCATCTACCACTGCCTAAAAAATCCTGCAAAGCAGGGGGTACATCCCCAAACATAATTTGGCTTTCATCCCAACATTTAAAGAAATAATCATTCACTTCTGTAAGACTGAGGTTTGGGCAGCAGATAGGTGTGGCTTTGTAATTTTTAAAAAATAACAAAAATGTCTATTTTAATTATATAATTTTTTTAGGTTTTCATTTGCCATGCACGAAATAGACATTCTCACACATTACTTTTAGTAACAAAGTTGATCGGGTCTTGCTGGAACGTTGTGGATTATGTGTAGAAAGAACATTTAAAAGGTTCATTATCCTCTGACCCTGTAATTCTACATCTAGAAATTAATCCTAAGGAAATAAGCAGAAATGCAGATAAAGATTTATGCAAAAGGATATTTCCTACAGCATTATTATTAATAACTGGACGTAGCACAAATGTCCAATAAAAGAGGATTGGTCAAATGAATTCTGCTACAACCATATGCTGGAATATTGTGTAGCTACTAGAAGAAATGGCTCAGCAGGCTGGTGTGTTAATACAATGGACTATTATATTGACATTAGGAATCACAATTATGAGGGTTATCTATGAATAGGGAAATAACTACAGGAAGTAATGATAACAGGACAAAATTGAACTCTTAATAATATATGCATTAAAATTATATATGAAATAAATCAGGCCTATACTAAATTCAGAAGGGATCGGGGCATATACATGATGTTTCAGGGGCTTGAGTTTTTCCCGTGATTTCAAATTTGTTTCCATTTGTGTCTGCTCAACTCTCATTTAATTGATGAAAGGAGAAAAACAAGGAGGAAGAGAATAAAGGGAAAGAGAGAAGAAAAAAAGGGAGAAGAAGAAGGAAAAAGGGGAGAAAGAAATAGAAAGTAGAAGTAGAAAGGAGAGCGGAGGGAGAGGAAGGCGATTTGGAAAGCTCACTGCAGTTACTACCATAGCATCCTGGGCAAAATCCTGAGTAGGCTCCTCCTCTGTGAGCTACGCAAGTACAATGGGATTTTAGTCCACCAAAAAGTATGAATTTTGGCTGTTCATTAAATACATGGAAGGTACAGAAAAGACCTTCAAAACCTCTACATCACACTCAGAGACATTTCCCACTCAGGAGAAGGAGC